CCAATACTGAGAGGAAGAGCGTTAGGGGGCTGTTGTATGGTGAGAAAGGGAGTGATGTTGTGTTTGGCAAAGACGAGAGGATAAATGTTGATTCTCTGGACCCGGTATGTATATCTTTGGTAGAGTGATATTCTTGGTGAACTTCTTGTTTGTGATAGTTACGTTGTCATTTGATAAATTGACTTGGTATATATAAAACTTATGTTGTGATTAGGTTTAGTGAAGTTGTCATTTGTTATAGTTGTCATTGTTACTTGATAAACTTAACCTGTTAAAAACGGTACCAAAGTTGTGATTGGGTAATGTGAACTTGTCATTCGGTAAAGTTCAGGTTTGGGTTGTTATTTGATAAAGTTGTTATTGATTATGCCTGAGTTGTGATGGGATCAAGTGAACCTGTCATTTGTTACAATGTAGTTGTTATTTGATGTATCGAAGTTGCTAATTATAATTTATTAGTTGTGATTGGCTAAACTGAACTAGTCATTTGATATAGTAAAGTTGTTATCTGACATACCAAAGTTGTTATTTATACTACTGATGAACTTGTTATTCGCAATAGGGAGAGGTTGTAATTTGTTACAGTGTAGTAAGCTTGTAATTTCATATACTGAAGTTGTTATTTATAATATTTAACTTGTCATTGGGTAAAGTGAGCTTGTCATCTGCAATAGTGAGATCATGATGTGGTATAATTATGTTGCTAGTAAATTGATAAACGCCATTGTCATGCAGGAGCTGAAGCAGTTGCGTGCACGATTAATGAAGAGGATAGAAGAAAGCCATCAGAGGCTGATGAATATGGTAGATGAGGAGCTGTTGAAGGTGCACATTCCAAGAGAGGCAGATGGGAAGAGAAAAGGAAAGGCTCCTGCTGAGACACTCGCATCAATTGTTAGTGGGTCTGAAGATGACGATGAAGAGGAGAGACAGCATGCTGGTGAGACTAGTGAAGCTGTGCAGAAGAATGATGGAGGGAGTGATGGTGAGAGTAGTGAGGAGAAGGAGAAAGATGACGAGGGGAGTGATGATGAGACAAGAGAGGAGGAGGAGGAGGACAAGGAGAAAGGTGACAGGGGGAGTGATGATGGGACAAGTGAGGAGGAAGGCAAGGAAAAGGATGATGGAGAGAATGATGAAGATAGTCAGGACAAGGATGAGGGACAGAGTGCACAGAAGGACAATGATGAAATGGAGGGTGACATACCCACGCCTACTACCCCCATAAACCTGTCATCTAATGTTGAAGGTGATGATGCGGAGGGTGACAGAGCCGTCACTATATCCCCCCTAGCAATTGTCAAATATGTTGACCCTGTTGAGAGGCAAACCCCCATCAGGGTGGAACCTTTGACAGCAGCTGAAGGTGTGCAGGCACAACAAGTAAGGAGATCTAGCAGGGTTCGCTTCAACAAAATTAAGTCTCCTTGGTTGGAGTTGAAGGCACAAACAAGGTTGAAGAGGCCTGCAGAGGATAAAGACATTTTCTTCACCATTGTCAGCCGAAGTGTGAAAGGTGATGAAGGCGACTAGTAAGTATTGTGATACTCAGCTTTTGTGATGGGGTTTTGTTATCACTTGTTAACATAACCCATATGCTAACTCACTTCAACCATTGTCAGTCCTTTGATTAAAATGTATGATGAAGATATTACCCGACGCTTGCTGCATTCTCTTGGGGGAAATAACAGAGTTAGTAACAGGGTCATGTCATTAGTTTGTAAGGCCGTGGTGGATGAGCAACAGGCTGTGGAAGGGCGTGTAAGGAGGCATATTTTTGATGCGGACTTCATGGTGAGGTTTCTTCATTAGTTTGTGAAATGATAAGTTTGTATATGAAAATTACAAGTCCTCAAAGGCAAATGACAAGTGTAGTATATAAAGTAACAACACTGTTAAGGCAAATAACCGTCTAAAGAAACTAATTGCAAACTGACAAAATCAATTTGTGTTCTTTATTAGGAGTTAATGATCCGTGACCCAGCTCGGTGGGACCCTAACTACCATGCACGACAAATAATTCCTCAATTTGTCGGGTACAACATAGGTGACTGTGACTTGGTTATGGGTCCTGCACTTGTTGGTGAGCACTGGTTTTGCTTTGCCCTTGAACCCAACACCATGAAGTTCTATGTCCTGGATTCCATGCGAGGAACTGTTCAGTCTAAGAAGACCACAACTAAGAAGAAGCAAGCAGTCACCTATGACCCTCAGGAAATGGCCATAGCAGGATGTGTAAGAATCACCTGGGCATATTACATTGTATTATTATTGTCTGAAATTATAGTGATGTTGATGAATATCTGATATATGTGTAGAGAGAAAGGTTCCACGACATTATTGGCATGGTTAGGCCAGATTTGACTGAGAAAATGCCAAATTTGGAAATTGTGCGGCCTGATGTACCTCAACAGAGTAATTTGTGAGTATACATACACTGCACATGTAATTTGCTGATTTCCTATATTTATTCTCGAATTGTTAAACTGTGATGGTGGTGTTGTTCCTAGGAGGGACTGTGGGGTGCATGTCCTAATATGGCTCAGCAGATGGGAACCCAATCTTCCACTAGAATACACCCAGGTGATGTGGTTTGCTTAATTGTTGTGACTGGTAAAGGGGCAAAGTAAGATTAACTTGCTGTTGAATCTGTTTTGCAGGGAGATGTGGCAGCTTTTCGGCGTGATCTAATGTGGTGGCTGGTGAACCATGATAACAATGAATGCCGTGAGGATGCGCTGAATCTTATTCCACATCCACAGAAGGGGCGAACGTCCAAAAGGAGGAGAAAGTCCCTATAGAAAAAGAATTTGGGCCATGAAGGACATTGACTGTAGATAATGTTACTGCGTTATCATTATGTGTAGTGAACTTATTGTCTGGCCTAACTGCTACCCAGTTATGACAATTAGTAATGGTGAAATGACATTTTTATTGACATCATTGAAATTGTGTTCAAGTGATGCGATTTCCACTTGTCTTTAACGTATGACAACATCAATATGCCAATTAACAAGTCCATTAAGCAATATATGAAGAACCTTTTTTTTATGAAATGACACTATTTCCACTTTTGTTTAACATCTGACAACTTCAGTATGCTAAATAACAACTCCGGTTAAGCGATACATGAAGTTCAATTTTTTCGAATGAAGTTACAGTATTTCTACTATTGTTTGACGAGTGACAACTTCACTTTGCGAAATAACAACTTCGGAAGTGGAAGCGGCGAAGTTCATTTTTTCCCTGTTTAAATGACATCCTTTCCACTTTTGTTTACCCAGTGACAACTTCACTTTGCGAAATAACAACTTCGGAAGTGGAAGCGGCGAAGTTCATTTTTTTCCTCTTTAAATGACATCCTTTCCACTTTTGTTTACCCAGTGACAACTTCACTTTACGAAATAACAACTTCGGAAGTGGAATCGGCGAAGTTCATTTTTTTCCTATTTAAATGACAGTCTTTCCACTTTTGTTTACCCAGTGACAACTTCACTTTTCGAAATAACAACTTCGGAAGTGGAAGCGGCGAAGTTCATTTTTTTCCTGTTTAAATGATAGCCTTTCCACTTTTGTTTACCCAGTGACAACTTCACTTTTCGAAATAACAACTTCGGAAGTGGAATCGGCGAAGTTCATTTTTTTCCTCTTTAAATGACAGGCTTTCCACTTTTGTTTACCCAGTGACAACTTCACTTTGCGAAATAACAACTTCGGGAGTGGAAGCGGCGAAGTTCATTTTTTCCCTGTTTAAATGACATCCTTTCCACTTTTGTTTACCCAGTGACAACTTCACTTTGCGAAATAACAACTTCGGAAGTGGAAGCGGCGAAGTTCATTTTTTTCCTCTTTAAATGACATCCTTTCCACTTTTGTTTACCCAGTGACAACTTCACTTTACGAAATAACAACTTCGGAAGTGGAATCGGCGAAGTTCATTTTTTTCCTGTTTAAATGACAGTCTTTCCACTTTTGTTTACCCAGTGACAACTTCACTTTTCGAAATAACAACTTCGGAAGTGGAAGCGGCGAAGTTCATTTTTTTCCTGTTTAAATGATAGCCTTTCCACTTTTGTTTACCCAGTGACAACTTCACTTTTCGAAATAACAACTTCGGAAGTGGAATCGGCGAAGTTCATTTTTTTCCTCTTTAAATGACAGGCTTTCTACTTTTGTTTACCCAGTGACAACTTCACTTTGCGAAATAACAACTTCGGGAGTGGAAGCGGCGAAGTTCATTTTTTTCCTGTTTAAATGATAGCCTTTCCACTTTTGTTTACCCAGTGACAACTTCACTTTGCGAAATAACAACTTCGGAAGTGGAAGCGGCGAAGTTCATTTTTTTCCTGTTTAAATGACAGTCTTTCCACTTTTGTTTACCCAGTGACAACTTCACTTTGCGAAATAACAAGTTTTGTTAACCAATTGGCAATATCAGTATGCCAAATAACCACAAAGCACAGGTGGTTTGACAGCAACCTCTATTTGCTGATATAACAAGTAAGCAGTCTGCATTTACAAATCAAGCAAGGGAGTTTACAGCAATACTAAGTCAAATAACCACAAAGCACATGTGGTTTGACAGCAACCTCTATTTGCTGATATAACAAGTAAGCAGTCTGCATTTACAATACAAGCAAGGGAGTTTACAGCAATACTAAGTCAAATAACCACAAAGCACATGTGGTTTGACAGCAACCTCTATTTGCTGATATAACAAGTAAGCAGTCTGCATTTACAATACAAGCAAGGGAATTTACAGCAATACAATGTCATTTAGCAAAAAGTAAGAGGTCCGTTTACAACAACCAATTTTGCAATAGTCAATAACAAAAAGACATTCACAACGTCGTTGACTTCTTTTTTCCTTGTCAGCAAACATATTACTTGCAAAAATAGCTGTGTAGCTATGCAACTAGCAACACCCTTCTCCCAAAAAAATTAAGAAGAGTGGAGCGTATATACACCAAAAAATTAGTTGTCGCTTGTAGAAATGAACTTCAAAATGGGTTGGGATTTTTGCAACTCCTCCTTGTGTGTCCAGGTTGGTGGCATCTGGTGCAATGGTAGACTTTTTTGTTCTGGAATTGTGATTCCTGCCGTTTAGTCCTTGGTCTTCCAGGAGGCCTACTTGTATTTGGTGGTAAAAGCAAGGTTTGTTCAACAAGATTCTCAAACCTATAGTCATTTGGGTTAGGCATATCGATTGTTACCACTGGAACCATGCTCCTGCCATATATTTTCTCCTGTGCTGAAATTTTGTAACAATCTTCAACATATTCATATACATTTCCCCCCACAGTCTTAATGGCTGCACAAGCATGGCAGCATGGAATTCCTGACATTTGCCAACCAAGACAACTACATTGGTGTAGACCAAGGTCTACTCTTTGATCTCCACGAGATGTATGTACACACAGTCTTCCGCCTCCATAATTGTCACAACTCATATACCTACTGAAATACACATTCTCCAGAACCTTTGCCTCGGTTTTTGGCCCAACACAATTCCTCCACTTACTCATACACATATATGATGCATGCATCTTCCTTGCTACTTTCTCCCGATGCTCATGGATCATTTGCGCCACATTATGCTTTCTCTCCTTCACCATCCAAGAATTGAAAGACTCAGCTATATTGGTTGTTATATTGTCCCATCTTTTAAATGGAAACTTGCTCATTGCCCACCTATTCACATCACCTTGATTGATAACCCAATCATGTAACTCAGGAGACATAGTTCTCAGCTCTGCCATTGCATTATCAAAGTCACTATCAACCCTTGCATAAGCAACTCTATCAAGAACCTTTAATGCATCTTCTTTTGACCATTGGCTTGTCCTTTTACCTCTGTTTACTTTTACTTGTTCAGCGCTGAAGTTTTCCTTCACATGCCTATAACAATACGCATGTCTTTCACCTCCAAATATTGCTTGGACAGCTCCTATTATGGCATTGTGTCGGTCTGACACAATTGTCACCTGCACCGAACCAACAATTTCTTTGATTTTGAACAGAAACCAAGTCCAGTCATCAAGGTTCTCTGATTTCACCACTGCTATTGCAAAAGGCAACAAGTCATTATCTGCATCATATCCCGACGCTGAGAGTAGTGTCCCCTTATATGGACCACTTAAATGAGTTCCATCAACATATAATATAGCCCTTGCACCACTCAAAAAACCCTCAATACACGAACCATATGCAATGAAAACCCGCTCAAATGTATTACCAATGGAAGCCCATTCAGCAACTGTTTTATCATCAGTTTCCTTTAATCTTTGGCATATCCATGGTATGAACATATAGGATTCTTCTGGTTTCCCATGTATGTGTTCCATGGCCTTTTCCTTTGCTCTGTAAGCTTGAGCATATGTTAGCCTCACACCATATTCCCTTTCCAGTGTCTTCCTTATTTCAGTAGGACGCTTTTCGGTGTGGTTCCTTATCTCCTCAAGTATTATTGATGACGTCAACGCAGCATTGCCAGCAAAAGTGACATCTAGGTTATCTTGCGCTGAATGAATGTGTTCATTAACGAATGTGGTCACGCGTAATAAAAGAGTATCCCTCCCAACAGCATTTGCACAAATCTTCCATGGACACCCTTCCACTTTACACCTCACATTCATCTTCTCCCTACTGTTTCTCACATATGTCGTTGCAAACTTCTGTGCAATACTAAACCTGTACACAGCCTCCCTAAAAGCTTGGGCATGTGGAATATATTGCCCCACCCCTGCAAAAACTCCAACCCATTTCATGCAATTCAAATTACCCCTCAATGTCCCTTCACTCCCTGAACCGTCACTGAAGTTTGTCTGACTTAAACCCCCTCCTTCATACGTTAGGCATTCAGCACCATAGTCAACAATGAGTGGTTCATAGTTATCACCAAGGTTCACCACACCTTCAGTCATTTCTCCCGACAGCCCAAACAAATTCTCACCCCTACACCCATAATAACAACGTTCGAATAGAAATTAGCAACAACACATTAGCAAATAACAACATTCTACTGTAACAAAGTTAGCATAATAACAAGATTTGTATGGGAAATATCAACAATGCATTATAAAATAACAACTTACTACTGTAACAAACTAAGCAATATAACAACATTTGAATGGAAATTAGTAACAACTCATTACCAAATTACAACTTCCAATCGCAACTTCATTACCTTAATTACAAGATTTATATCAAAATTAACAACAATTCATTACCAAATAACAACTTTCTACTGCTGCGCAGTGCACATGATAACAACATTTCTTTGGGTATTAACAATAATCCATTACCGAACAATAACTATCAACTGCAAAACTTTAACCACTTACATTTCTCCATCATTCACTGCTCCACCTTCCTTCTGGTTCCCTTTCGCTGCTACATACAAATGAGCACTGCTATCGTTATATCTAAACATATTGCAAATATCACCTTCATCATAAAGATCAACCAGTGTGCCCTCAGCAAACTTAACCGTGTACTTAATTTCGCACCCTTTAGCATCATTGTGTACCAACTGTGATATTGTTCCTCTTAATTCCTCCAGTGTTATCCCTTCTTTTATGCTGCTTGCTCTCACACTCCCTCCCCCGTATTTAACTTCACCTTCACTGTTTCTTTCAAAATACCCACCAACATGGAAAAAACAAAACAATTCCTTCCAACAGCTTGACCCATTGTAACAGTTCATTTTGTCATCCTAACCTGGAACAACAATTTACATATAAAAAAATATATTAGCTTCACTATACTTTTATTCAATCAAATTTGCATTTACAAATCAAGACCAACTAACTCTTCTCTTCCCCACTTGACATTAGGGTTTTACAAGTTGGACATTCTAAATGACAAGATCTTTACTCCTCTCCCCCCACTGCACCACCGTTAACTTCATACTCAAACTACTAATTATTACCTCCTTCCATTTCCCCTCCCCCACTCTCCCATTCGTGATATTCCTAACAGAGATCAATGGCAACCTGCGTCATGAAAATCACAGGTCAACAATCTGACTACAAAGACTAATATTTTGAATCTCAACCCAACCGAACCCTCCTTAAACAGTATTATTCCATGATCAACTCCACTGCTCACTCCCTCCATACCTATCACCCAACAATCCACAATGCCACTCGCCACATTCAAGAACAACATCACATTCCTCGGTCTTACAGGGTAGAGAAGAAGAAGAGTATACTTAGAAACATTACAAGCATTACTTACTTGATTCTCAACCATGTGCACCACCAATCTTCTCCTCCAAGCTCTCCACGATCACTTTGTTTGTCTCAGCCTTCATTAATGAATCAGATTGACTGAGGGGCAATTTCGTCTTTTCACCAACATTTGCTATTTGCCATTTGAGACCGGGTCCCTCATGATAATTTAGCAAATTCAGGTGACCATTGAGTGATTTTGCTAATTCGAGGGTCTTTATTTGTGATTTCCCCAAAGATGAATCATTTTTCTCTTTCCTTACTTCCATCCTTCCTGTTTCTCCCCGCGTCATTTTATTTTATTTTTTCCATTATCTCACTCCCTTCTTCCATCCAGGTCAGGGGATTTCTATATAGGGTTACAGCTCTAGCCTGTCACAGAGTGGAACGTAGAGCTGATAATTCTACACCCATACTTCCCACTCATGATATGCTTCACTCCTCGCGACCCCTTCGGTGCATATCCTTTCCTATTGGTTTTAAAAATTACCAAGGCAGGGTATATATGCAATGCAAGTTATAATACTGATATATATATATATATATATATAAATATAATGAAACTACCTATGAAGCTTATGTGAAACTACCAATCAACCATCCAACACGAAGATGAAGATGTGATGCTGATATAGTACATCCTCTCTTTAATATAAGAGTTAGTTAGAGTTTTTTATTAATTGTAAAATGTTTCTATATGAGATAGTTCCAATACACATGATTAAATAAAATAGTTTAGGAAGTCAACACACATTCGTTATAATTAACCAGCTTAATTAAATTTATTAATCTTTATAAATTATTCACCTATATCTTATGTTACCTTCGGCGCTTAATATAAGAGCTTGTTTGACTTTTATTTTGATCCTAAATATAAAACTCTAATTCACTTTATCTTTCATATTTATTCATTTTTTTTTCTAAAGTAATCCTTGTAATATTAGGTGGGATGATGTGCACCATGAAATGGGACGCAGAGCTTCAACAGAACTGGAAAAAAGAAGAAGAAAGAAATAGAGAGAACATTATATCAGTTTATTCAACCCAAACATGTCTTGAAACTTATGTCCGAAGAAATAACATATTATCCAATTTGGCTATGAAAGAAGTAGTAAGTAAGAAAGAAGAACCCCAAGAGATTATCAGGAGATTCTACAAGTGACTTATTGACAAACTCAATTATTTTTATATATTTTGGTATCTTTTATATGAGTTTTGTCAGCTTAATTGGTCCCTTTTTGCCTTAATTGATTTATTTTGTTTTATTTTGAATTATTATTTTATAGGGGCAAAATTGTCATGTTTTGATTTAATTATGATTAATTGATTTTTAAAGACAATTAATGCTACCTTATCCTTGAATTTTGCTTGCAGGTTCTTGGAAGATTCAAAAATAAAAAAATTAAAATTAAAAAAAGAAAAAAAAAGAAAAATAAATAAATTAAAAGAAAAAAATATAATAATAAGTTGGGGGCAAAACGCAACGTTTTGCCCCAACCTAATATTCCTAATATTAATCATCATCAGCACGCAGCGGGAGAGAGCGCCGAACGAACACGCCGAAAGGAACAGAGCGGGGCGCGGCAGAGGGAAGGAAACGAAACAGAGCAACACACGAAGGAGGCTGGACGAGCTCGACGGCGTGGAAGGAGGGAGCTGGCGGCTTCATCTTCTTCTTCTCCTGGGCGCAACCCACAAAGTAGAGGAGACGCGCCGAATTCTTTACGCTGTTGTTCTTCAATGGAAGCTTGCAATAGAGTATTGAATATAGCATTTTTCATGGCTATGCGTGGCTAATCCCATAATTCTCTAATTCAACAATAATGGCAGGAGCTTGGATCATTAAAGGGGAGTTTTAGTTACTTTAATTTCCTACTCAATAATTGTTTAACAATTCCTAGGTCTTAGGATAGTTTTTCTAATTGTTGGGATAATTGTATTGCTTAATCTGATTATATTTGGGGATTATTGTGACTGGATTATTGTTTAGCATTTGACATTAGGCTGTTTATAGCTTTGATTTCAATTATGATGTTGTGGTTATGATATTTATATTGATTTTGGAGTTAATATATTGTGATTTTCTAAGGTGGCTTAGAATCTTGGATCATATTGTCTCTTGCTAGCTTTAAGTCTATTATTGTGAATTTAAGAATTTAATTGAGCATTGGATTTTAGTATCCTTAATTTCATTTTACTATTCTGGTTGCAGTTAGTAATTTGAATTTTGGGAAAATATTTTGTGGCAACTCGAGGTGGCTCGGTTGTTGGATTAAAAGCTTAATTATAATTCTTAATTCATTGTTTTTAACTCCCACATCTTTTAGAGTGATGATTGCCTACATTGTTGAATTGGAGGATTGATTATTATTAGTGTTATTTGTGTGTCTCATTTTCATTTCTTTAATCTCCATTCATTTTAATCACTTTTATATAAAAACAAATTAAAAAAGTATTTTAATTTCAATTTGATTCGTAGTATTTAATTAACAGCTTTTCAAAATCAAAAATCTCTTTTTATAGTTTAGGTTACTTACATTCATTTACTAGGGTTTAATTTCGTTTTCGGCTCCTCAAAGTGAAACGACCCGAGTTTTGCACTATATTGCATTAATTCGGTTAATTTTTGGAGTAACCCCAAAACGACACATTTAATGGAAGTTAACTTCAAGTGAACATGGGAAACAAAGTGATATCTATGATAAAATGGTGAGAAAAATTAATTAAAAATCTTTAATCTTATTTTTTTCCAAATTTTTAAAAACTTTTATTAATTTATAAAAAAGTATTTGAGTTTCGTCTAGAAGAAGGGCCCACCTCCCTCCCACCAGTCAAAACGCTAGAGGCAGAAGTGCCTGCGGGGGAACCCTAACCTAGGACCCTAACCTATTTCCTCACAATCCAAGCTCTGTTAGTTCATCCTCGATTTCTCTATATATCCCCTTCTCCTCTCCGACCCGCGCGCAACACACCACCATTACGTACATTGAACGTCCTTGTGTTCTGATCGAGCTCTGTTACTCCTCCTCCGCAAAGCATCAAATCTGAAAGTAAGATCCTTCTTCCTCATCAAACACCTTCAGGCAAGTCACAATCGCTTCCTCCCCCTTATGCTGATCTGTTAGAGCGAAACTAACCCAACCGTACCGTACTTACCTCATCGTCAGATGGTACCCATTTTTCACAATCTGAAAGGTTTCTTATGCTTTGTAGGTTTCGGTCTATCATCTCAACATTATTTGCCATGCTTGGAGTGCTATCACCCTCATTGCTATTACAGGGGGCAAGCTCTTTAATATTCTCGGCTATCATATCTCCAGTAACACTCATCATCTATGGCCACGCGACCCAAACGATAATGCCTTCTTCTCCTTTTTCATCCATCATACAGTTCTTGAGGTCAGTGTCCCATCTCATTCCTCCTTTGTCATATCTTGATCTTTTCCTTTTCCACCTTATTCTTAAGCTCTTGGGGCTTTGAATCTCCAGTCTAATTGAATGGCATTGCTCTGGTACCAGAGACTGGTTGGCCTTTGGTCTCACTCCATATAATGCATTGTTCCTACAGCCACATATTTAACAGTAGTCCATAATCAGTAACTGAATAAGCGAAGAACAAGTATATTTTCATCAACCTTGATTGTTAATTAATGGAATGCTGCTTTTTTATGCAGGTCTATTCCTACACATGAGGGTTTGGGTAAACTAATTGAAGAGTTAGCTAGTATGGTGGAGAGACCCTACGGAGATTCATCGCCGTTGAAGGAAAACTCAGTTAGGACGTGGACTTTTCTCATAAGCATATCTATCCATAAGTGTACAAGGGATGTCATATCTGGTTCTCTAGCCTGTTCAGTATTAATATCATTCCTCCTCTCCCGTGATGAGACGCCATTAGTGTATGTCTCGTTCGCAATCTGGGGAGCTCTGGTGGTTTTATACTTGACGAAAAACGGGGCACCAATTCCTCGAAACAACAGTGGTTGATTTTCTTTGCTTTGCTCTGTTTCAGCATATGTTTATGTTTATTTTCTTGTGTGTATTATGGGATGCCTTTCCATCCGTGTTTAGTTGGTGTGAAATGAAGGAGTGTTCATTATTGGAAATGGTCACTAATTCCTTTGAAGAAATATGGGTTCATACTAATTTTGTAAGCTGAAGTGCCACTTTTGTTGCCAATTATAAGAAAACAGAGGAATTTGACCGCAGCCCTTCACACGGGCTCTCTCAAGTGGTGGGCCTCCAAAGCATCCATTAACAATCATTAAAGAGTTGTTAAAACTAATAGTGGATTTTATAATAATACATTAATTGGGGTTAAAATCAATTTGCGTAATTTGATTCGCGTTTTATATAGGCTTTTTAAAAAAGTCAATTTGGCATTTTTCATTTGAATGACATATTAAAAAATCAGTTTAAATTGTTTTAAATTTGAAGAGAAACTAAAAGTTAAAAATATTGTTTCAATTAAAGGCCGTACACAAGTCACAACCTCATTTTTCCATCCAACTAGTCCTTTTTTTTAAAAAAAAATCCCGACTGACATTTTGAAGGTTCCCAACACAATTCCAAACATGCACTATTGTATTGCTTGAGATTGTTTATTTACAAATAATTAAATTAAAGTGATGTTGTGTGCCTAATTTGGCTTGCATCTTTTTATTAAAAGAATTGTACAATCTTTAAAATTTTTTATTTTCTAATTTCAAGAGTCATTTCCAACCAAAAAGTAAAAAAGAGGTCCAAACTATTCTCAATAAAAAAAAAAGGATATTCTTTTATTTCACTATTAATCATAAACCAAAATCCGTAACATATACCATAACAGTAATCCCCCATACTAACAATTCGCTTGATAGAGAGGGGAAAAACATAAGGATGAGATCAAATTAAGGGAAAAAAACTAGTTCTTTCTATTCTATGACTCTACATTTAGATATTCCTCTCCCTGTTTGGAATAACCAAACATGCAGGGTGGAATTTTCTCGGATATGAAACCAACAAGGGAAGGGCCCAAGATTTTCGCCAATCAAATCCAAAAGTTTATCTCTTTTGTTTTTAGCTAGCATTTTAATGTGCGATTGTAGTAGTTGTATTTTTTTGTGTGGAAGAATTAGTAGTTGTATTTTATCATAAGAGATGGGAAGATTATTCTACAAATCACAAATAAAAGTTACTTTTAAAGTTCCTATCATAATTTCGAACAAGCTCTTAGTATTTTCCCTAGACTATATTAAACATAGTTGAAGTGCCTTATAATTAAATATGA